TATTCTGCTTCCCTGTGTCAGCACCTGGGGCTCCAGAATGCCAACAAGTCCAGATGAGGCTCCAAAGCAACTCACAGTGACTCTGAACATCTGATTTGTCAGGCCGGCAAAGCTCTGGACCCCCTGCCCCCTGAACCCACCAAAGCACAAATGGCTCTCCCAGTGACTGTTTTGTATTCTCTTCTGCCAAAGATTTGTTTGAGCACAGATTTTTGGTGCCTTACAAGAATCAGTTATTTCTTTAAGTCAACCTTGACATTTTTCATGAACACTTTTTTTAAATAAGCCCATACATAAGGTATTTGGAAGTCACTATTAAGTTATCACCATATTTATTAACTCAGTAATTATCTCTTGCTTGAACCACAGAGAACAAGGAACTGAGGCCTCAGTGGTAATATTCTAATGTGTTGGGGTGGGGTGGGATGAAAAGAGAACCACAGAAGTAAGTCAAGTCATTCCCCATGTTATTAGTGTTGTGAAGAAAAACAGCAGAGTGCCGTGAGAGGTTCACAAGAAGTGAGGCTTAGACAGGGTGACTAGGAAAAGCTTCATTACAGAGGGACTTCCTGAAAATTAAATGATGAAGAACTAGCTGTGCTGTCTGCCAGAAGCCTGAATATGTAGTTAAAGTCACCAAAGGATTGCTCAATGGGAAATGACAATGAGCCTGATAGTTAGGCAATGGTGGTCTGAGAAATGATGAAGATAGCTCAAGCATCATTCATTTATGTGAAGTGGAGAAGTCTTCTATTAAAGATGAGGTAGTTCAGGCATTTGAGTTTCTTCTATTGGGAATTCTCTGTTTAGATCTGTGTCCCATTTTTTAAATGGATTATTTGACATTTTGGTGTCTAGTTTTTTTAGTTCATTATGAACTTTGGAGATCAGCCCTCTGTCAGATGTGGGGTTGGTGAATATCTTTTCCCATTCTGTAGGCTGCCATTTTGTCTTGTTGACTGTGTCTTTTGCCTTATAGAACCTTCTCAGTTTCAGGAGGCCCCATTTATTAATTGCTGCTCTCAGTATCTGTGCTACTGGTATTATATTTAGGAAGTGCTCTCCTGTGCCAATGTGTTCAAGGCTACTTCCTCCTTTCTCTTGTTGTTCAACATCCTTAACCATCACGGAAATGAAAATCAAAACAACTCTGAGATACCATCTTACACCTGTCAGAATAGCTGAAATCAAAAACACTGATGACAGCTTGTGTTGGAGAGGATGTAGAGTAAGGGGACCATGCCTCCATTGCTGGTGGGAGTGCAAACTGATACAGCCATTTTGGAAATCAGTATGGTAGTTTCTCAGAAAATTGGGAATCAATCTACCTCAAGACTCAGCAATACCACTTTTGGTCATATATCCAAAAGATGCACACTCATACTATAAGGACATTTGCTCAACTATGTTCATAGCAACATTATTTGTAATAGGCAGAACCTGTAAACAACCTAGATTCCCCTCAACCAAAGAATGGATAAAGAAAATGTGGTACATTTACACATTGGAGTACTACTCAGCTGAAAACAAAAAAAAAAAAGGTGACATCATGAAATTTGCAGGTAAACTGACAGATATAGGGAAAAAAACCATCCTGAGTGAGATAACCCAGACACAGAAAGACAAATCTGGTATATACTCACTCAAAAGTGGATAATAGACATAAAGCAAAAGACAGCCAATTACAGTCCACAACCCCAGAGAAACAAGATAACAAAAGGCACCCTCAGAGAGACATACATGGATCCAACCAAAAAGGGGAAATAGAAAACAGCTCCTGAATAAATTGGGAGCATGGAAGATAGGGGGGTTGGAAGGGGACAGGAGAGGAAGGAAGAGGATGAGGAGGAGAACATGAGGAAATGAGATGGTAGAGTTGGGGAAGGACAGAGAAGGAGAGAAAGGAAAGAAATATCTTGATAGAGGGAGCCATTATGGAATTAGGAGAAATCTGTAACTAGAGAAATTCTCAGGAATCCACAAGGATGACCACAGATAAAACTCTAAGCAATAGTAGAGAGGGAGACTGAACTGGCCTTCCCCTATAATCATATTGAGAACTACTGTAATTGTCATCAGTTAGAACCTTCATCCAGTAACTAATGGAAGCAGATGCAGAAATCCATAACTAACCACTGGACTGAGTTCCCAGAGTCCAAAGAGAGAGAGGAGTGATAATATGAGCAAAGGGTTAAAGGCCATGATGGGGAAACCCACGGAAACAGCTGATTCAAGCTAGTGAGAGCTCACTGACTCTGGACTGACAGCTGGGGAACCTGCATAGGTCCACACTAGACCACCCTGAATGCAGATGACAGTGGATGGCTTGAGCAGTTTGTGGGGTCATTGGCATTGGGACCAGGATCTATCCCTAGTGCAGGAATTGGCTTTTTGGTGCCCATTTCCTATGGAGAAACACCTTGCTCAGTCTAGATACAGTGGGGAGGGCCAAGTCCTGCCTCAGTGTGGTGATGGGACAGACTTTGTTGACTTTTCATGTTATGCCTTACCTTCTCTGAGGAGCGGATGGGGGATGGAGTGGGGGGAAGGTGAAGGTAGTGGGAGGAAGGGAAGGAGGGAGAACTGGAATTGGTCTGTAATCAACAAACAAAAATAAAGCGAAAAAAATAAAACAAAGATCAAGTGGCTAAGGAACTGGGGCCCCTGCATGTTACTTATTATGTGTAGCACTAAGAACAGAGATAAAGGGTCCAGAGTCTCCACGACATGAAGCAGAGGCCAAGTAAGAGAAAGGTAAAGAGACACCACAGGACACATGTTTCACAGGAGCAGAGAACTTTCTGGGAGCTGTCCTGGAAGCAGAATGGACAGGAACAAATAGCCCCTTACTTCTAGGCCCAAGGGACACTAGGATCCATACAATGAAGTTTCATTTACTTGAGAAAGATTGAAGTTAGCAGAATATAGGAGTCTAGTAACGAACAACTGAGGAAACTTGAAATTCATTTTACCATTACAAAATTGAAATTGATAAAATAATGTTACTACTTTTCCTACAGTAGCGATAATTATGGTTTTTATTTGTAGTGATAATAGAGGTATTAGTGATATAAACAATCTTATCAGCTTGTTACAGCCCTATGTGAAGTATTTCTTATGCACATCTGCCAATAAAAACTCTGTGATCTTTCCAATGTACAGAAAAGTCATATATAATTGATGACAACTTTATGGGTCATAAATCATTGATCAGAACAAAGAAGGAACTGAAGCTTTGAAGAATTCTGGCAATCTCTGGGAAAGATAACAGACAAATAGCTTTAGAGTTGAGACCTCAACTAGGTGGCTTAACAGTGCAGATGATTGAGGCAGTTCCTTCATGAGGCTGCACAAGATGGTTATGGTAATTAGAGATTATTCCCAAACTCCTCTTGCCCATCTTATATTTAAATCACTGGAGGCCCACAATACCGGAAGGTGGCTCCAATACTCATTTCTCTGCTCTTTCACTCAACTAGTAGAAAATTCCTAATGATCTTTGAAGAACAATGTCCATTCATTCACAAAATTTGAGGGCTACTACCATTATCTATAGACCATCATAGACACAGGAAATAAAATAATATATAGAAGAAAGTCTTCTCACTTCATCTACCTGTATTCCAGTGGTGCCATGTATTACCCTCTCTGCACATCATTTATTTCTTAAATTTCTCAATAACACATTGAAGACCCTGGACATTTATTCCCTCACTTTTACAGGTCTAAGTGAGACCATGCCCTCTCTCTGTCCACAGCCTTCCAATAGCTCCTGAGCTTACTCAGTGTAAAAGCCAATGTCTTTAAGAGTTTTGTTCTTATTAGAAAAACCACATATAAATTCCAAGTTCCATGACTTCCCCTTCCCAGTCAGTTCAAGTTATAAGAAAGAAACAATCAAAGGCTAACCACTTGCAAAGTGGGCTAGTACATCAGGCAAGAGGAAAAATAGCTCAATCTACTTTGGATATAATCTTACACAGTAAGACATCAAAGATATCATTCTGGATTCTTAACTCTTTCTTCAAGTCGGGAAGATGTACAATATTTTACATGAATAAAATTATATGATATTGTGACTATAACTCACATTGTGATAAATGAATTGAAAATAAAATACTTTTAAAATGAACAAATACATTACTTTTGGTAAACGTTGATGAAAATGAATGCTTGTT